CTAGACCCCACTCCCCTCCTGGAGCCAGGGAGAGAACCCAGGAGTCCGGGCTCTCCCGTGTACTTACAAATCCCAGCATACACTTGATCTCCTTGAGGGAACCCAGGCATCCGAGGAAACCCAGCAGCATGGTGATGATACCAACTCCGGACAGGATGTAGGACCAGACCTTCAGGGCGTACAGGGAGGAACCTGGAAGGGGCACGGGCAGAGCTCAGAGCAGGGCTGGGCCAGCGGGGGGCTGCGGGTAGGGAGCGAGGGGCGCCGCGGGGCCGGCGGGGGGCTGCGGGTCGGGAGCGAGGGGCGCCGCAGGGGGCTGCGGGTCGGGAGCGAGGGGCACCGCGGGGGGAGAGGGGCTGCGGGTCGGGAGCGAGGGGCACCACGGCGGCTCACCCAGGACAGCGGCGAAGCTTTGCTGGTCGATTAGGATCCAGAGGCCAAAGCTGAGGATGATGGCGCCCAGGACCTGGGGGGGGGAGAGGGGAGTAAAGGGGGGGTTACATTGGAGCAGGGGGGGGTTCACCCTGGCACAGCCCCCCCCAGCCCGAGGCACAAGGGGTTAATGGGCTAGTTGGTGGTTGCCCCAAGCCACAGATGTCTCCCCCCCACCGGCCCCAGCTGCAGCCTCCCCCCCTTAGTGCCGGTCCCATCTAGGGAGGGGCAGATGAGAGCAACCCCCCCCCCGGTTGGCCCAGCCCCCCCCCCCAAGTACGGGCCCAGCCCCCCCATCGGCCCCCCAAGTACGGGCCCGGTCCCCCGCAGCCAGCCCCAGCCCCCCCCCCCATACTCACAAAGAAGAGGAGGTTGAAGAGGAAGAGGAAATATTTGGTGACACTCAGACACCCCTGGGGAGACATGGCTGGACCTGTGGGGGAGGGGGCAGGAGGGGGGGTTACTGCTCAGTCGGACGGACCCCAGCCCCCCCAGACATGGACCCCCCTGTACCTTGGGGCAGAGGCAGCTGCTGCCCGCCCAGCCCCACGGAGACCCCAGGATTCTGGGGGTGATGTCACAATGCAGGGGATGGGACATGGGGCCTTCCCCCCAGGCAGCCCCCGGGTTCCCGGGGCCCATCCAGCTGGGGGGGGGGGGGGGGGGGGGAGGGCTGATACGCAGCAGTTGTTGGTTCAGGCTGATAAGGCAACTTCCCCTCCCCCCCTCCCCCATCCCTGTCCCCACATCCTCTGTCGCTCCCCACACAGGAAACCACCCGGGCCCCATGTGCTCCTAACTCCCCTGGGCTGCTGTGCCGGTGCCCCTCACTCCCGACCCGCAGCCCCCCGATCGCCCAGCCCTGCCCCC